CCCTCTCCCTCCCCTCCTCCCCTGCCCCCCACCAACCCCCTATCCCAACCCCTTTCTGCTCCCCAGGGAGGGGAGGCTTTCCATGGGGGATCCTAGGAGGGCCTGGCAGCAGATGGAAGGAGAAAGAAGCTTGCTAAAATAAATTAATCACATTTCTCTTCACACACAGGGCGTTTGTAGGGGGCTGTACAAGGAAGTATGGCAAGGTGACAAATTCTCAAAGGCCACCCACAGTGACACTTCTCCAGCAAGGTTCTACCTGCCAAAGGTTCCATAAGTTGCCACAAACAGTACCACCAACTACATGAGCCAGTGAGGGACATTCTCTCTCTCTCTCTCTCTCTCTCTCTCTCTCTTTCTTTCTTTTTCTTGTTTGAATTTTCTTCTCCCCCCCTTTAAATTTAAATGAGAAACAGGCTTGTTTTACATGTCAATCCCAGTTCCCTCTCCCTCCCCTCCTCCCCTGCCCCCCACCAACCCCCTATCCCAACCCCTTTCTGCTCCCCAGGGAGGGGAGGCTTTCCATGGGGGATCCTAAAAGTTTGTCATATCATTTGGAGCAGGGCCTAGACCCTCCCCAGTGTGTCTAGGCTAAGAGAGTATCCCTCTGTGTGGAGTGGGCTCCCAAAGACCATTCATGTGCTAGGGATAAATACTGACCCACTACCAGAGGCCCCATAGATTAACTAGACCTCCAAACTGACACCCATGTATGTTCAGGGAGTCTGGAACAGTCCTGTGCTGGTTTCCCAGCTATCAGTCTGGGGTCCATGAGAAACCCCTTGTTCAGGTCAGCTGTTCCTGTGGTTTTCTCCAGCCTGGTCTTGACCCTTTGCTAATCATTCCTCCCTCTCTGCAACTGGATTCCAGAGTTCAGCTCTGTGTTTAGCTGTGGGTGTCTGCTTCTGCTTCCATCAGCTACTGGATGAAGGCTCTAGGATGGCATATACGGTAGCCATCAATCTCATTATTGGAGAAGGGCATTTAAGGTAGCCTCTGGACTATTGCTTAGATTGCTTACCATTGCCTAGATTGTCAGTTCTTGTCATCCTTGTAGGTCTCTGGAAAACTCCCTAGTTCCAGA